AATCCTTCTCTTAGAGAGGCATTCACAACAGGTAATACTTGGATCTACAGATCCACCGATCAGATATTGCGGACCCTACATGTGGAAAAGCTGACTAATCAGCTGATGGTCTCCCCGCCTCCACACGCGCTGTCCTTTGCAGGGATCTAGCAATTAAACCTCAGAGCTGTGATTTAATCCATTTAATGGTGGAGGCGGGGAGACCATCAGTGGATTAGTCGGTTCTTCTTTTACGTATGGTCCGCCATATTTAATCCACGGATCTGTAGATCCAAGAATCATCTGCTGTGAATGCCCTCTTATTTTAAAAGCCGTTAGTTTCTGGGAATCTAAAGAATGACACAGTGGGGTCTGTTTACATCAACTTTAGAAAGTGTAATTCTATATGGATATGCTCTATATCCGCTGGATAACTGTCCAGAGGATAACAGATTATCATAACTTTCATAAGGTTATCCTATGGTTGTGCCCTATATCCGCTGGATAACTATCCAGAGTATAACAGATTATTATAGCATGATCCTGTTGATGTGCTCAATATCCTGAGGATAACTATCTGAAGGAGAACAATTTTACCATAGCATTATCCTATGGATATGCTCTATATCTTCAGGATAAGTGTCAAGAGGATAATAAATTACCTAATGGAAAGTATCATCGCTAGGATAGCCCTGTCCAATGTTGGTGAAACTGAGCTCAGATGTCATGATATTTTGTCATCATCTTCAGTGTCAAGTATTTTTTTTATGGGTTTGTAATGATAATTGACCTAGTTTTAAATGGCAGTTGACATGGTTTTTAATGGTGATTGACCTTGTTTATCCTCACATGGCACAAGTGATTCTCAGTAACTAACAGCTAATGTCGGCTAAACTATATTAATCAAAACCCATTATTTTTCTTTACCCCTTTTATTGTGTTACTAACCGAAAGCTTTAAGTATGATTGCTTATGGGAAATTTATGCTCAGCCTAAGTGCTTAATGTTGAAGTTTTTTTAATGAAGAGCACATTGATTAAGATTTATAAAACTGAAATAAGATACAGCTTAGATTCTTGGGGAAAAGTGCTTTTAAAAAAGCAATTTATGATTAATTTTAATTAAAATATATGTAAGTTTGAACATGTTTTTTAAAATATCTGTGTGTGATTCTACATGACTTTTAGAAATAATATTCTTTCAAAAGTATATCTTTTAAAGAGAGAGAGAGTGGATCTCTTAATTAAGGGGAATATGTATTAGATGTTGATGGCATCGGTGCCAATTTTTTATCATCAGATGTGACATATTCATTGTCAGAATGTAAAATTGTGTCCTTTTTTTTCTTTAGTAGAGTTTTGCTTATGTATAAAATATGTATGAACTATTTACAATTTCTTAATAAATGTTGTCAGGTAAGGAAGTTCCCTGTTTTTTTTTGTTTGTTTTTTTTTTTTTTTTTTTTTTTCTGTAAGCTTGGGCAGAATATGTGGGGGTGGGTGGAACGATACATGTCATGATTTAAGATCTAGAGCTACAGTTTGCTTATTGCTATACTGATGTCCATTCTACATCTCTCTCACTATCTGCAAGGTTTTGATGTCCATTACCGCTTTAACACCCCATACGTGAGTCTGAACAATAGCCCTATGCAGCAGAGGAAACGGCCGTCAAGTCAGGGAGGTAAAAAGATAAAAATGATGCCAACACCCCACCCATCTCACCCCTATTATTCTTATGTTATATATTTCAGTTGAAGAGTCTTGCCTTTTTGTGATGTTAAAAATTAAGTTTTATTATTATTTATTCACCATTAAAAGGAACTTGCTGATAGAGATAAGCCTCTGCTGCCAAACCTGCCCATGTTAACTAAAATTAACTTATGTTTGAATATGGTAGATTATTATGGTTGATAGTGGTTGATTAAATGGAATGCAAAATTATAATTATGATGATCTGTAACTCTCCAAATGCTTGTTTTAATTGATTTTGTTATATATCAAATCTTGACAACAACTTTTCATACTCACCTAATAATTTTAGATAGATTTTTATATTTTTGTACTATGATTATTTTCCTTTAAAAAATCCCTTTGTTTTGTTTTGATGCTTGTATCCCTGCTGTATGATTTTAAATTAGTAACTAAAAGTAGATCGAAGTCATTCCATGTTATTCCCTTGATTATAGGCTTAAATATCATCTGAATAAATTTTGTGAAGATATCCTATTATATCATAACATTTAATATGATGTAGCACTATTCACAGTCAATGCATGGCAGTTTTTCTTCGTGAAAATGAAAAAAGTACAACAAATGTGAAATGAAGATTTTGGATAAAAGTAATCTCATGTAAACTTTTTGGCCTGGTATTGTTCTGTTGTTATGTCATGTTAGACTCCCTGATGCATGCTACAGTTCTAAATAATCTGAAAAATCTTAATGTGTTCGATATGTTAATCAACTAGGCATCTTGTAGATTTCAATTGCCAAATTAATAAATGATGTAGTGCTTAACGGAGTTTCCCCCCCTGCATTATGTCAACTCAAAAATTTATTTTGAACCCTGAATAAAAGTAAGCATGTTTTTATTTTATTAATTAATAGGTTAAATGTAATATGTGAAATCATTTGTGAAAATTATCAGTACAACGTGTCCTCCTGAAAATCTGAATTTAATAAATAAATGTGGTATCTAATTATAATTAGATTAAATTTAATTATAACTGGTGATAATATGTCAGTGTTATTGTAGGATAAATAATGTAATATTTTACATTAGAATGCTAAATTCAGTAGAAAACCTTTCAAAGTCATTTAACAATCAAGTTTTTTATATGATTATTTTTAATAATAATAATTATATCTTTTCACTATTGAAGATTTTAGTGTTGACTATTGGTGTAACACACCAATTCTGTATCTCAATGATAAACCCGCCTTATCCACTAAGATCAGCTCTCCGGGACACTCTCCTGTCAGAAAAGGTAACAAAGTGGATTTTTTTGCTCGATGTGATCGACCTAAGTATGTATTATGAGTAAAAACCCCTACTACCCTACTAAATTTGGCCTGTAATATATGATGCCTGTCTTTGAGAAAGGATAGAGTTTATTTATTTTGATTCAATATTTTTTCATTGTTTATTATTATTATTATTATTATTATTATTATTATTATTATGTTCTCTTTGTATTCAGTTATTAATTCATTTATTTATTTTTTGTCAGCCTGCTTTTTCTAGGTTTTAAGATTTCATAGATATTTATGTATTGAAATGAAGGCTAATTGTTATGAAACTATTTAGTTCTGTCTTCACTTGATTTCATTCCACTTTTGTTTTAAGTACTTTGAGTAGGTTTGATTATAGAGAATGGTTTTCTGATGTTGGGTTAAAACATTAAAATAAAACACTAATAGAAAATAATGGTGAATAGATTTTTTAAACCAGTTTGGAAGTGTTCTGGTATATATTTATTCAACTAAAATGTTGTTGTTTTTATTTCCTGCATGTTAAGAATGGCCTAATGTTATGGATTACTGTTGTGTTTGCTTTCAATTAGGAAACAGTATAGATGCTATACAAAACAAAATTTAAATACATAATCAGCCATTTTCCTAACCATACTTTGTTTAGACCAAAATAGTAATTTTCTGTTAAATATATCAGTTGTATATTAAAAAACAATACATGCAATACAGTAAGTATATTTATGATATTATGTTTTTCCTTCAATAAAGAATAATGTCTGTCATGGTAACAGTTAACATAAGTAGGATTAAATTAAATGTTAAATGTAGCTTTGCTTAATTGTCTAGTGATTTTTCTTTGAGGGGGGAGGGATAGTTTGTGTACTCATTATTTGATTATTAGTATGCTTAGTATTCAGTCCAGCAGAAATCCACCTTTGCAAGTGCTGTGATGCTTCATTACATTAGGTGGCTTCATGCTGAGCTGAAGATGATGTAACAGTTGATGTCTGTTAGACTTGTTCAGAACCGGTTTTAATTTGTTCCAAATGGATTGTGAATGTGATCATTTTAGAAAATTAACACTTAAGATTATAAATATATTCTGATGGCATTTCGGTTCTTATTTGTCTACAGTGATTTAGATTAGTTATAAGTGTTTTCCAAGAAAGTGGCTTTTCATGGTTTTTTAAGTTGTTGTTTTTTTTCTGTCAATCTGCCGTAGCTCTTATTTTCATTTTTCTGCAATATATCAGTCCAATACATATCTCATGCATGTATCTTTGTTTGTCAGTTGTGTATGTAAGGTTTGTGTACATAGATCTCTGTAAGTCGGGTTTTGTTATTTATGGTTTGTGTTACATGTTGTATCATGATTGTTGTAACATTCAGTCACATGTAATGATTATCAAGCTGTGAAATATGGTAAGGCTTTTCTGTATGTGAGCAGGTGATATGCAGCCCTGTTTTCTTTTGAAGACACACACACAACTGAATGATATATTAATTCTCCCTGTCATCTGGAAATTTTGAAAATAAAATACGATAATAGCAGGTGTTTATCAACATTTTTGTTTTCCTAATTTTTTTTCGAATTCGCCAAAAAACTAGTGATTAACACTCTTCAAAGTATTGCAATTTATCTGATGAAAAGCATCTCTTTTAGAAAAAATATTGAATGTAACTCTGTAAGGCAGCCCCCACATGAAAATTCTATCACTATTTTCCAGCTATGTTAGACAACCCCCACATGAAAATTCTATCACTATTTTCCAGCTCTGTTAGACAGCCCCCACATGAAAATTCTTGGCCTATTTTCCAGCTCTGTTAGACAGCCCCCACATGAAAACTCTTGACCTATTTTCCAGCTCTGTTAGACAGCCCCCACATGAAAACTCTTGACCTATTTTCCAGCTCTATTAGACAGCCCCCACATGAAAATTCTGTCACTATTTTCCAGCTCTATTAGACAGCCCCCACATGAAAATTCTTGGCCTATTTTCCAGCTCTGTTAGACAGCCCCCACATGAAAATTCTTGACCTATTTTCCAGCTCTGTTAGACAGCCCCCACATGTTGATAGCTGAAGAAGAGAAGATAATCTTTGAGGAGCAGAAGGGCGACCAGACGGTGGTGGAGGAGAAGTAAGTGATCATTCCCAATGAAACTGTTGTTCTACGTTGAGTGATCCACTTCTGCAAGGACTCTTCAATTTGGTGGATGCAATAGATTAACAGATCCTCCTGGCTTTGACTAGAATATATAAAAGCTGGTGATATTATGAGACTTGTGCTTTCAAGACAAAAGGGGGTGTGTTCATCTGTTTAACTGATTGCATTCAGCAAGAGTGCCAGAAAAGTTGGGTCAGTCTGCATAAGAGGACAGTTTCATTGAAAGTGATCTGGAACTAGTTCTTTAAGATACACGTAAGAAGGGAAACAATAAATGCATCAAGCAGCAGGCCTCAGTTATACAAAATCACCTTTTGAGTACATCAAAAGGTTCACAAAATCGGCACTTAACAAAGCTAGACACCTGTGTTCCATTTCATGGGCTCTTTTGGGACGAGGAAAGCTAAGAAATGTACTTCCATAGTTCACGTATTATTTCGAGTGTACTGTGTGTAAAATAAAAGGTAGAATGAAGCAGTGAATTTCATATAATGGTTTATTATTGTTCTTCAGGACATTGGTAGACACAGTGTATGCCATCAAAGACCAGCTGAAAGAATTGAGAGAGGTAATGTGTTTTTGATTGCTTGTTTAAAGGTGATTTGTTTCTGAAAAAAAAAAAGGCTCGATATCATGAGATAAAAAAAGCTTAGGGTGATTAACTGTCAATTTTGGTATGATGTTTTCTTATTTATTTATTCCATTTTATTTTATGTATTCATTTTATTGATTTAATTATTTTTACCAGGAACAAGTGCTACTACGTAAAGAACTGGAGGAGGAGCGTAGAGCAAGGAAAAGAATTGAAGCCATGTTGAATAAATCTCGACGCTCTCTGAGGAGTCTTGTGGATGGACCTTGGGAAGAATCATCACCAATTTTATAGGATTGAGGCATTCAGCATGACCTAGGGTGAAGGTCATGACCTTATGCAAAGGTCAGGATCATTCTAGCCTTTGTAGAAGACACCATACCCAAACTTGGAAGGTTTTATGAAACATGATGTTGGAGACTGTGTACTGAGAGACATATACATATTTATATGCATATAGATGAATTAGAGCAGAAAAGGCAGTATGGCACGTTAAGTATGAAGCATTCTTTTTTATCTCCTGCAAAAAACTACAGATTGTTTAATTTTCATTTGAATGTGTATAAAAACAGAACGATAATGAGCAAAATAACTGCAAGGTAAATATTTAAAATGACTAACGGCATTGTTATAAGCTTTCCTAACTATTATAATTTCTTGAAAATATCTACAAAGTCGGCGTTAGTGTGGAAAAAAAATGGTAACTTCAGTTTAGGTATTTTTCTTTTCTTTTTTTTTTTCCAGTATTAATTCTTAACGAATTTGTTTTGTATTGTATTCAGCGAGATATTAGTGGTATATTGCTATAGATCATGTCACATATTCCTGTAAATTGTGTAGTTGTTAAACCGGATGCACTTCTTCTTACATCAGAATGTTGATAAAATGAAGCATATGTGCAGCATTAAAATTTTAAAACATGTTTTCATAACTGATTATGCATATGAATCACAAAAAAACATAGCATATGTGCCTTAGATTTTTTTAACAGTTTTGTTAAAAAAATAAAACAAAGGTCCTTGAATTTAAGGTTTTTGGCTTTCTTTAAAGATTTCTTTTTATGCCAATATAATATGAGTGAAAGCATGATTATTGAAATGAAGGTTGGTGAAACGACCAAGGGGTTATACATAGACTTATTATTTTCAAATATTCCTTAAAATATCATTGGCTGTCTTGACAAGTCGACTCCTTTCAAATGCATCTTTAAGCACACGCTGATACGCACACGTTCTATATAATACAAGAATTAAGACACACAAGCGAAATTGGTTGGTAGCAAGAACCCCCAAGTTGTAAGAGCGACAAACGCCACACCAGGGAGGCGTAAGATCAGCAAGTTGAGTGTAAGGGCTCATTCCAAATGGAACTAATGTTTTACGCTATAACTCCGAGAATGCAATCAGCTTAACATATTAACACGCTTCCTCCTGGCTTTGAGTAGGATACAGAAAACCTGGTGATTGTGTACCCTCTACCAGGGTGGCAGATATTATAGGGAAATCTTGAAAAACCCACAGAATGCCAAATGACTGCCCATTTATCTAGAAACATATCTGTGACTACATGTATCTTGTGAAAATCAATCTGTCGTCCTGGTAGAGGATAATGATTATGCGTTGGGAAAAAAAGAGGCGCGTTAATCTGTTAAACTGGCTGCATCCAGCGAAAATGCCCACTGAGTTGGATCCATGTGCGTAGACAGATGCTGTTTATGGGAGTGAGCCCTTAGTGTTGGTAGCAGAGGTCGCGTGCCGAATGGAGTGCCATCGTTGCAGAATCTGTCGACATGATCAAAGAGAGTCACTGGTGTAGTTTGCACGCACCCAGGGCGAGTTTGAATGACGGTAACGACGCCAGCTCAGAAATAACATGTCCCTCCACTAACAGCCCGAGGGACGAAAGGTGTGTGAGATTCAAAAGTCACCCAGTCTGCGATATCTAGCCTAAAACGTCAATTTTATAACTCGGGACTTGCGTGGTGAAAATTTTTTCTTTGTGTTTTGTTTCGCTTGGCTTGCAAGGTGACCAACACCAATATAGGCGATTATATAGCATCCGTGTAAGACACAGTGCTTTGTGTTTTTATTATTTGGTCAAAGAGTTTTAATTTGCGTCACCGAAAAAATAAAATAAAATAATTTGCATTGACATATAGAATACTAGTTGTTGCGGATCCCACATCAAACAAACAAACAAATGACGGGAAATGTTCACACTTTATTTCACGCACACTGACATGGATATGGTGAAACTAAAAATAACAAAATAATGAAATATAAATACCAAACTAATTATACAAAATACACAAATATAACATAAATTGAATACAAATATAAAAAGAAATAATAAATTAATTATAAGAAACGGAAATGTTGTGCAAATGATTAACAATAGAATTGAATACAATACGTACAGAGAAATGTGGCTTTCCCGTCCAGTGTTGATCCACAAATTTTGCCTACTAAAACTTCAGACTCGGCGACCTGAGCCTTCGCTCGTCAAATACAACGTGGCCGCGCCCAGAACTACTGCATACAGTATTTATACAGAGCAAATGATTTGCATAATAATACAAGGCTGACCAGTGATACGATTGTAAACGCAAATTGTTGTCATAAGCGACAACACTAGTTATTAACATATACTTGCTTATAACAGAGGTAACACTGTAAAACAAATCTCTCCTGTCTGTGCCAAAACACATTTCAACACAAAGGGTTGGGGGAAAATCCACGTCCTTTATATGAAATATATTAACACTTTTATAGTGTCATTAATGCAGGGAATTAATACAGTTAGTAGTTTGGGATACGGCGTCCAGTCTCATATGGTGACGCTATTTTAAAACCGCACTCGTTGACAGACAGCAAAATCCAGATGATTCTAACGAGTATTTAATGTGAGGCTTTCGCTAGCGACTGGGGGTAATTTTGCTTTTATTGAACACTTTGGCGTGAGAACGAGTCATAAAAAATTGAAACTATTTTAAAGAGGGTTTTATATGAAGCTTCCGCCGTCACCTGGAGGCGGTTTTGCTTTGATGATTGTATTGTTTGATATAAGGTCACTTCACACTACAGTGATGTTAAAGATTTTTATATTACAGCACATCAGCAAAGCAGTATGTATAATTCCAAACAGACAGCAGCGCAGACGCCATGCATCTATCCCTTTAACGAAGATGTCCGATTCAGTATAAATTCTAGTGGAAATGTAGATTACGCGCGCTTTTGACATAAAAAATTAAATATATATCTTAATATTATCACCGTGTCCGATGTATTACATGTACATATGTGTCTTTGAATAAGAAACCAATATACATGTTTTAAAAGCAATATTTTTACGGTATTTTTATTCATCTTTTCACCGTGTTATGAGTAAGCGAGAGACAAAGACAAGAGTAGAGACATTCCGGGTGATCCTTCACTTCATTTTGCTAGGTGGCCGCCAGACAGAGAAAGATACTTTGCAAACTGAATCAATGCCTTTGCACACTCTGTGTATATAGTCACATGTCACTTGAAAAAAGCCATAGAGACATATTCAGCTGTGACTTTGGTCGCCTTTTAATTAAAATTACACATGCCAGCCCATTATGGTTGAAACAAAATCTTCGTATAGGAAATTAAACACAGGCAAGAGACTTGCTTAACGAGTATGGAATAAGTTGGACAATATCATTATGATACGTATAAAAATCTTAAACAAATTTTTGATACTGTTTTTATAACCAATTGCGCAGCAAAACAGGTCTACAGGCCGCAGAATTAATGTATTCTTCTTAATTATAGTCTGGGATAGAAGATAGGATCTTCCAACATTTTGCATACTGACACCATTTCCCCATTTCCGCCCTGGTTCTAAAAAGTCCGCATCTAAGCTTGTTTGCATTATGGTGTACTTGTGAATTGTCTTAGAGGTAGTTTTGTATGGTTTTAAGATTCCTCAAACGATCAAGGTGACAGCCGAGCGAGGAGGAATAAGATCTCCAACGTCATCAAACCACGTGGATAAATAGGATATCTGACGTTAGAACTGATGACCACTGTAATCTCATCCTGTAAAAGTTCCTTTGTGATTCACGTGGATATTTGAATAAAGTTTCCTTTTAAGGATTCATTCTTTCCAATTTTCTCCTTATTTTTTCGATTTCACGTTTTTCATATGCCACTTGCTTAAAATAGGCTACATAGAGGTAGATGGTCCCTAGGAAAACCGTTCCTATGATTACTCCTAGTACAATTTCATGTACCACGGCGTCCTTCAATTGTTGCAGAATGTCGGAGTCTTCTTCACTGTTTTCATGGCTTGGGGTACCATTCTGATTGTCACCTTTAATGGTAAAAATGGGGACACACGAATAAAAATCGAAACAGGGACATGAATGGAATAATCATTGTGCTATATGTGCTATGAGTATATCGAGGGACGACTCGGAAGTTTGATAAAGATACTGAAACGCCCTTTCCAGGTCATTTCGTATCAGAGAATTATAATTCAATATTAAATCATTATATCCGTAAGCAGTGACGTTTTTGGCTGTTTATACCTAGTTTTAGTCTCCATAAGTTCATGCAATTCAAATGAATATGCTGATAACAAACGTTGCAAATGCTGATAACAAAACGTTATTAGAAGAAAATATCAAACCATCCTTTTTAATTCCCTAATTAATAAAGGTTTAGCCATGCGAAGGTCACTGTTTCACAGAAGGCCCTCTTTTTTATGCTGGACAGTATGAAAGACTCCCTATATTGACAGCCGACTAATTATAACTTCCGCTGGTCATATTAATCTAAGAGCATTTGGAGCAATTGTTTCATGACAGATTAAGTCAAATTTTACTGCTTTTTACAATGGTATCAAGGTAATTTGGATATGTTTTTAAATATCTAGCTTTGATATGGAAAAGACGGCCACCTATAATAATATTTGTAAAATGCAAATGAGTCGGCCAACAGACAATAAAGATACTCTTACCTTTTAGGAAGAAGAATGCGCCATTTGAGACAATAACTTTTGACTCTTTGAGACTCTTAAATTTGGTTGCAGCTGGAAGGAATATTCCTTTAAAGAATCTTGTAGTTGTGGATACTGTTCGTGTAAAGAATCTTGTAGTTGGGGATACTGTTCGTGTGAAGAATCTTGTAGTTGGGGATACTGTTCGTGTAAAGAATCTTGTAGTTGGGGATACTGTTCGTGTGAAGAATTTTGGAGTTGGAGATACGGTTCGTGTAAAGAATTTTGTAGTTGGGGGTACTGTTCGTGTAAAAAATTTTGTAGTTGGAGAAAATGTCCGTCCACGCAATATTATGAAAAATCTGTCAGACATTCCCTTTTCTCCTTTCATTCCAAAGAACGGTAGGCCTTTAGCTCCCTGCATTCCCTTCTCTCCCGGATGTCCAACAGATCCTGGAAGTCCTTGCTGACCTGGATCCCCCGCCATGCCCTTCATACCCTTCATGCCTTTCACTGAGTCACCTGGTGGCCCTTGGTTTCCCGGAAGCCCTATGAAAGAAACATTCAAATTATAAATCTAATGCAAATAATTATTTTATAATACGCATGTATTTCTTTCTTAAACGTGCTTTTGGAATTCACAGAAGGGTGATCATTGAAACGTATTTCTGATAATTTCACAACAAGATAACATATTCGAAGAAAAAAAGACTAATAAGAAATTGCTAAATTGCAAAGCTAAAATCATTTCAAAACAAATATTCCTTCTTACCTTTTGGTCCGGCTGTTCCTGGTGGTCCTCCCGTTCCGGTTGTTCCAGGAGGCCCTATTAACCCTGGTGGACCAGCTGTTCCAGCAGCACCAACCATTCCTATAGGTCCACTTAGTCCTGGGGGTCCACCTGTGCCTGGTGGTCCTGCTGCTCCTTGGGGACCAACTGTTCCAGGTGGCCCAATGGTGCCTTGTGGACCACCTGTTCCTGGAGGACCACTTCTCCCGGGTGGACCACTCGTGCCATCAGGCCCGCGGGTTCCAGGTGGACCACCAGTTCCCTCTGGTCCAACTGTTCCACTGCCTCCATTCAGTCCGGGTGGCCCACCAGTTTCTGTTAGCCCTGCTTCACCAACAGGACCACTAGTGCCTGGGGGGCCATCAAGTCCGGCAGGTCCTGATGTACCTGGAGGACCCCCTGACCCAGGTAATCCTGCCGTCCCTGGGGGTCCACCCGTTCCTGGTGGTCCTTGAGTGCCAGGAGGCCCTCCTGTACCTGAAGGTCCTTCGGTTCCCGGAGGACCACCCGAACCTGGTGGGCCACCTGTCCCGGGTGGTCCTTCAGTGCCGGGGGGTCCATTTGAACCTGGTGGCCCACTGGTCCCTGGTGGTGCTCCAGTCCCCGGTGGCCCACTACTTCCGGGTGGTCCCATGGTTCCTGTTGGTCCACCTGTAGCTGGAGGGCCACCCGTTCCAGGAGGACCACTGGTTGCAGGAGGACCACCTGTTCCCGGTGGACCACTTGCTCCCTGAGGACCCCCTGTGCCAGGAGGTCCTCCTGTCCCTGGTGGGCCTGCAGTACCAGGTGGACCCCCAGTTCCCGGAGGTCCACTTGTTCCTGGGGGTCCACTGATTCCTGGGGGTCCGCTGGTTCCCGGTGGACCCGGGTTAGCTGCAAATATGTTCACTTTCATTCAGCATTAAGGATAATATTTAAATGTACGTAGCAATTCATATCAACATTCAGATAAAGTCTAAAATCGCATATATATTTCTATTCTTATTTTCATAAAGTACACGGACAGGAAAAAAATTAGGCTAGTTTCAGGTTAAGTACATTTAACGAAGAAGAGAAAAGACGACATAAGTACACATATTTAACAACGTAATATAAATAAGATGTTCACGCCTTCAACGCCATTACCTATCCATAAAGCCCTGCAGAAAAATGGGAGTATAAACGTGCACTGGCGGGATACCCACTGGAATGGACTCACGGAGCGCGCGGCTGCACAGTTCTCTGTTGTGCCACCACTTGGCTCGTTGTTTCGCCATGCATCATAATCATCTGCAGTTCCATCGGTCCATACGTACGTGCCCTCTACGGCAGTGTCCGTAAAGCCTATCCAGGCATTATTGGTGCCTCTAAGACAAGGAAAATATGATTAATATAGACCGCATTCAGAACAGTGGACTAACTAGTCCGCGGGTTAAATATGGCGACCCACTAAAAAGCTTGCCGTCGAATCCCCTAATAGACACTGAATAAATATCCCTTGGAAAAGTATTCAAGTGGGTCGGCCATATTTGACCCTCGGACCAGTTAGTCGACTGTTCTAAATGCGGCCAAAGAGGCATGCCCGTTTTCATATCCGTTTAAGCGAGTAGGTGACGCAGTACACTTTTAATGGTTCTCAAAGACGACACTCGATCATTAGAGATTAACTTGTATCAACAATACATAAATAATTTTCCTTTCACCTCCTAAATTCTTCTTTATTTATTAAAAAAACATTTGATCAAGTGGAACATTTGAGCTGCTGGAAAAACTTGCGACAACTTGATATTACTTAGATAAAACAACTCACGACTTCTTTCACCAAATAAGAAAATATCACAAGTGACATTAAAGTCGACATTAAAGTTCCAACCCCTTTAAGGCGATGATGATAACTAGCATATGGCTAACTTATCAACTCACGGTGGGCGTAAACTTGCAAGAAAAGCGTTTTCTTCTGCACTGTGAATACTCGCTAGATGTCCTGTAAGGAATGTGGCACAAAATGCCTCAGCCTCCGCGAAGGATAAACCCATGGTGGAGAACAAGTAGCAGTAACCATTTGGTCCATATAATGCCCAGCCGTCTGGGCAAGCTGGAGTGAAGGAGTAAAAACGTAGGTAATTTTTAATAGCTACAGTGTATGTAACAAGGTGGTAATAAGGATATATGAAAACGTGACTGATGGTCTTAAAATGTACGTTTACATGAATTTAAGCTATCATTAATAAATTATACGATGATTTCTGATGTGTCCTCATATGAAGGAAGACATGGTAGAGTGTAAAGCATTCGATAAAAAAATCCATATTTTAATATGTTTAGTATATTTTAAAAATAATAATCTATATTTGAATGAAAAAAGAACCTTCTACATGTACATAATATAGATCTGATTGTTTTTTTAACTTTCTCTTACCTGATATACATACTGGTCGAAAGAAGAACAGCAATACGCACACCAACAGGAACCTAAAATAAAATAGTTCAATATCATTTGAATTGTATGAAGAAATCAGCTATAGTTGAAAGTCGTCTTTTTTTTTAATTTTCCAACACTTTAAATGGGAATATAATTGTATAACGTTGGTATTTAACAAGATATTTCTTTCCAATAGCCTGCAACACATGTGACATCGGTATTCCTAGAAGTAACGTCCACTAAAAAGACGATATCCTGTAAATGCAGAATCCTATAAACTCACCGTTCTATGACGAGGCCTAACATTTAACATGATTGCGATGCTACATACCGGTAAGCCTAACAGCCATGCCATGCAGAAAGGGTGACTTCCAATGTTTTGCAGTTATTTATTACAGTCATTTTGTATCTTAAATGCATACATGCTCATTCTGTCACTTACAAAGTAAAATATAAACATATGTTAAGGTTTATACCACCAAAAGACTAGGCCCTTTTTAGTGAAAAAAAGTTGAACTCCACCATCACTTCAGAACCTTACCTGCAATCCATGTCGAAAGCTTTACATTAAGTTTTTTTTAAAACCTATGTTCACTGTTAATTGTCCACGCCCTTGGATATCAATACATCATCCATGCCAACACCTGTCATTTCAATCGTTAAAACATGCACTAATGATGTGATTGGATATCACGTGACCTTGTAAATGCCAGAGTGAAAAATGGATTCATTCTAATTGTTTTAGCAACTATTTAAATCATTAGAATAAGGATTTAAAAGTGATGTAGTAAAGATGGATTCATTTTTACCAAGAAGTCGGAGGGGCCCTTAGCAAAATATTAGGCCTGCTGCAAATTCGCAGCAAAATTGCAGCAAACTTGCTGCAATATTTCATCAAATTGCAATTTCTTCTTTCTAATTTGCGGCAAATTTGCTGCAATATGGATGCAAATTAGCAGCAATAAATTTTTTCTTGCAAACTCGTTGCTGCAAACTTAAAGTTTGTCACAATATTTTTGAAATTTTGCTGCAATATAGCTACAAACTTTTCATTTTGCTGAGGGGAGTTTTGACTAGCCAAATGGCCAGAAGGGTGGATTGTTCTACGCAAATCATTCAGAGGCTTAGACATAAATCATAACCAAACAGGCACATGGGCAAGATTGCCTGGGTAAGGCGGACCAAAGGAAACCATGCACACCTAGAGAGGAGAGAGTGTTAATACCCCTCCCTCGTAGAAAACGTTTCATGACATTTAGGAAATTGACTGCAACAGGATTCCCCACCACACCTCTCATACCCTTTATGCCTTTCACGGAATCACCCGGCGGTCCTTGTTTTCCCGGAAGTTTATGGAATAACGATATTAGATTTAAATATCTATGAATAAAATCACTATTGCAGAAATACTGTATATTACTCATTTTCAGAAAAAAATATTTCTTAATTAACAAAATAAATATATCAGACCTGCTGCAAATTTGCAGCAAATTTGCTGCAATATTGCTGTAAATTAGCAGCAGTAAAATTTTTCTTGCAAGCTCCTGCAATCTCGTTGCCGCAAACTTTTGGCCATCCTTCCCAATCACCTACGAGCCTGGGTAGCAGTTTTGGGGTCTCCTACGGGTTGGAAATTTCACAGTTTCTTCGGTAGGTGCCTGCGTAACCAGGCGAGATGAAGCAGCCAACAAACAAGGACTTATTGTAACTGTAGCACGTTCGAAAACGATACAGTTCGGTGAAAAGGTTCATCAAGATTTGCTTGCCTGCCTACAGGAAGACAATCGGCGCAGTCTTTTCTTTGGCGGCATATCAAAAGCCCCACCTTTTATAACGTCCGCACACATAATTATAAAAAATTAGCAAATAATTTTATTCCATAAGTCTTGGTTATAAATCCAGTCTTGGTTATAAATCCAGAGTTATCGTTGCAAACTATAATTACTTTTATAACCAAGTACTTGCTGGCTATATCACTGGGAGTCTCCTTTCTGAACTTAATCTAAAATCTGGACACCAGACTTCATGGCTGCACAGACACACATCAAAGGGTGAGCATTACATCACATTGTCCAATGGCAGGTCACTACTGGTCCACAAGGGTAAGTAACCACAACTTTTACTGTCTTACAATCAGACAGCCTTTGGCCACTCAGTAGGACAGCACGGAAAGAATACTAGTAAGGACTATATAACAAACCTGCTAAAAAGCATTAGGAGCTTGGACACAAGACCCCCAAAACAAGGTAAGGCATTCCTTCACTTTTTTATTTCCCACCTCCCAACCCAAGCGGCATATCAAAAGCCCCAAAGTATGTGCAGAACCATTACTAACGTATAATGTTTTTAATACCCTAAAATTTCACCAACCCCGTTTTCATTGTCTAGTTAGTAAGTCCCCGAAGTAAGTTTTGTGAAAGCTTTTTGGTTTCTAGACAGAGTAACGACAATAGCCTATTTAGGTTAAGGTGAATTGTTTTCAGTGCGAAGAGTAAATGTCACCGCCAGTCGCACGAAGTTATAGGCTACATATTTGAAACTCGTGAAGGGCTTCTGTATTATAAAGACTATGCTTTAGGTCACTTTTGTACCATTAGTGGTTCTTCTATTGCTAAGTGTCTGCAATTCGTATGTAATGTGTTAATAGTTAGTTATTATTAAGAGAAAAATTGATAAATTGCAATAGTCTTTCATATAAATATAAATTTTATGAATGCTTGATGTATACAATGTAGTTCCTATATTTATTATATTAAGCAACACAAGGAGTATTAATCATTTTACATTTAAACAGCAAGCACTCAATACTAAAAATTATATCTATTCCCCTGCTTTTTTTGGTGTCTGGGCCTTATCAACTCGCATACAACACAATTACGCGGCTTTATATCCTATTGGCCCCTTTGGATGTGAGGTAGCGTTTGTAGAGCAAAAACAAATTGATCAGCGTACAACCCAATCCCCCCTACACACTCCACCCCCACCCCCTGCAAATATTGTGACCACTTGGTGTCCAGGGTCCCGTAACTCGAAAGCATCGAGTATTGTGAATAACGACATCACATAGAGGATACAATGTATTACATGGGGCGAGTATGGGCGAGTTATGGAATCCAGACGCGGGTGCTAGGTCGCAATGCGCGATGCTTTCGAGTTACGGGGCCCAGGTATTCTTTGGGGCGGATGTAGCATTTATCGTTATGAAAATGAAGGTCACATCAGGTCAGCATTGTACAGTTTTCGACTCGTACATTTGCCAACGTACTGAAACCTTGATTTAATAAACAAAGTTATGTAAGCCGAAGGCTATGCGTCCATGTGGGAAGAGAGGTTTCAGTTGTTCTCACATCAAACTGTGTGCTCTGTACACGCATTCACTTTAAAATTGAGAGTTTATTACTAAAAGGGAGAACGAACACGATAGGTTTGGATTTCACCTCACGTTTGACGACCAATGATAAAACGTGGCGTTTTTACGATATGGCAAGCTTAGACTGCATTCCCACAGATTTAGATCGATCCATCTGGATCGACCTAACTCCCTGGGGGTTCATGCTAAATTGTTGTCAGCCGCGCGTACACGGAAGTTAATTACCCCCTTTCAGCTTTTAGTAGGCGGGACAGACATTTAAGCCGGCTAAGCTGAGAGTAATCTAGTGAGATAGATCGATCTAAAATCTGTGGGAATGCAGTCTTATACAGGCATTATGTATTTGGGAAATCGAGCTTTAGTTCTTTAAACTGAAATATTCTATTAATGACAAAGCTGTCGTTATGGACTGGAGGTAATGCTGTTTTTTTGATAGTATTATTTGAGATAATAATACTTCATATTTAATTGAAAAATCAATCTTTTAAAAGTTTTATAATAACGAATTTAGCGTACAATTCATATGATATTCATCTTATATGATAATTATTAACACAAGTTGAAAATATGTTCCATACCGTTAGCTTGCTACCGACCTGACGTAGGCCTTCATCAGATTGACTGGAGTTAGTAGCAAGCTGACAGTATGAAAAATATTTTCAGTTTTTGCTATCATTTGTAATCTAAATACCAAGCTCATAAGCATTTTTGCTCATTAACGAGATATTTAACTTGTTTATTTCAGGTACATTTTGGTATTGTTGTCTATCGTTCGACCTGTATGTATCTCAGGTGAGAATAAGTTTACATCCAATCAGTACTACATTTATGTGTATGAGAAAGGTTATTTCTTTTTTCATTAAAATAAAACTATTCATTTAATAATTAATTTCAACTGCATGCCATCATATGAGGATGTACATGTACACGGATAAACCCTACCCTTTAAAACTATAGTTTGATCGTTCAGTTTCTTAATTATTTGTAAAAAAATTACAATAATATATATCAATTTGTCTTCATATGTCCTTCGCTTAATGTTTTAGCCAATGCCTATAGACCAACATGTAGACATACATCCTATCTATGGAGAAAAGTGTAATGTAAATTTGACTATCATAAAGAGTGTATGATAGTTTTATGTAGACGGTAGATTAAAAAGAACCGGTCTCTCGATCGGAAAAGCTAGGTTGTGTATCACATTTTAAAAATTTCTCTGAAAACTACCGTAATTGTCGCAAAGAGTGACATTCAAGTGATAGAGATATAATACGAGTTGCCGAGCTGTAGGTGAAATATTACTCGTGTATTGTCGAGCCGCAGGCGGGACAATACACAAATAATAATTTCCACGTACAGCAAGGCGACGAGTGTATTGTGTAGTACTTGTACTTTTTTTCACCTCTCTTTCCTTTCCATGCATTAGTTTAGACATGATAATATATATCTAACTGTTTACGGTAATCACTCTGCGGATTCCTTTTTGTATTTGTATTTGATCATGACTGGATGTAGGGCGATTGTCAATAAACTTCTGAATCTGTATCTGCCTTAAACCACGGCCTCTGATTGGCTACTACACCAGTGAGTAACGGTAGTGCAACAAGACCGTGGAACGCACTCGTACATGACGTGCTTGCATGTCGAATACAGCATACGGCCGAGTCTTTTGTTCTACGCGCTGGCCGTGGTTTAACTTGCTGATATAATTTGACAATGGAAGTTGACAGTGAAATAGATGTACTAGTAGGCTACACGTTCGTCTCGAGAAAGGCATTTTTGGATTTGTTTCCGTCTGTGGATGTATATTTTAGCCAACACCATCTATGGACACATTTACATGTGGGCTGAAGTATACAGTATATTTATTCATATGTCGTAATGCTGATTTATGCGTGCATGAATGAATATGAAAGAGCGAAAGGTCAATAATAAAATCAACACTCTCAGGTTATTAATATTACCATATTACATACATTGCAGACATTATAAAATGCATACGTTTTTATACATTCGCTCCAGCTGCAGTTTGCCCCGACGGGTGGACATTATATGATCAAAATGGGTACTGCTACTTGTTCTCCACCATGGGTTCATCGTTCGAGGAGGCTGAGGCATTTTGTGCAACGTTCCTTATGGGACATCTAGCGAGTGTTCACAGTGCAGAAGAAAACGCCTTTCTTGCAAGTTTACGCCCAGCGTGAGTTAATAAGTTAGCCATATACTAGTTATCATCATCACCTTAAAGGGGTGATATTTTCTTGTGATATTTTCTTATTTGGTGAAAGAAGTCGTGAGTTGTTTTATATGAGTAACATCAAGTTGTCGCAAGTTTTTCCAGCAGCTCAAATGTTCCACCTGATCAAATGTTTGCAAATGGTTGTATCGCACATTATTTTTTTATTTATTTTATTTTTTATTTTATTTATTTATTTTTTTATTTATTTTTTTATTATTATTTTTTTTTTTGGGGGGGGGGTCAAAGAAAACATGGATCAATTTATTGAAGTGCCATCAAGTGGTTGCAAGTTGTTCCGGCAGCTTTGATCAAATGATTGGTAATGGCTCAAACACACTGTTGTATAAATTAAAGCAATATAAGATGTAAGTGTGATAATACCGTGTGCATGTGTATTCATGGACAAAATGATATTTTAGAAAGTGAAATGTCGATGCATGCACAGCCTGCTATGCGAGTGCGATTTTGAACCATTAAAAGTGTATCATGTCACTTACACCCAGATGCATATGAAACCCGCAAACAGCGGCGGGCATACTTCATTTGATCCATATTTCATTTTTAGAGGCGCCAACAATGCCTGGATAGGCTTCACGGACTCTACCGTGGAGGGCACTTATGTGTGGACTGATGGAACTGCAGCTGATTATACGCTGTGGTATCCTGGCGAGCCAAGTGGTGGGGTAGTAAGAAATTGTGCCATTCAACGCTTCACCAGTCCAAATGACTGGAGATCCCGCCCGTGCACATTTATACTCCCATTTTTCTGCAGGGCTTTATCAGTTGGTAATGACATTTGACGTGCAGTTGTCTTATGGTTATTTTCATTGCGGCATTATAATTGTGTACATATGACGATGTTACTCTCTTTTGGTTGAATGCTGAACGTGAGGATGACTTAACTATTTTTTCTCTGATAAGTGTATTGAATTATAACATGACAGGATATATGTGATTTTAAAGTTCATCTCACATGTAACTGAATGTTGATATAATTTCCTTTGTACATATTAAAATCATTATCCAAATGCTGAATGAATATGAACATATTTGCAGGTACTCTGGGTCCACCAGGGACAGGCGGACCACCTGGAACCAATGGACCCCCAGGAACCAGTGGACCTCCGGGAACTGAGGGTGCACCTGGCACTGCAGGTCCACCGGGAACAGGAGGGCCTCCTGGCACAGGGGGCCCACAGGGAACAAGTGGTCCAGCTGGAACAGGTGGCCCTCCTGCAACCAGTGGTCCTCCTGGAACGGGTGGCCCTCCAGCTACAGGTGGACCACCTGGAACCATGGGACCACCTGGAAGTAGTGGGCCACCGGGAACTGGAGCACCACCAGGGACCAGAGGGCCACCAGGAACCAGCGGGCCACCAGGTTCATATGGACCCCCCGGAACTGAAGGTCCACCAGGGACAGGAGGTCCACCAGGATCGGGTGGTCCTCCAGGAACTGAAGGACCTCCTAGCACAGGAGGTCCCCCTGGCACGCAAGGACCACCAGGAACGGAAGGACCCCCAGGGACAGCAGGGCCACCTGGATCAGGGGGTCCTCCAGGTACATCAGGACCTGTCGGACTAGATGGTCCCCCAGGCACTAGTGGTCCTGCTGGTGAAGCAGGGCCAACAGGAACTGGTGGGCCACCCGGACTGAAAGGTGTTACTGGAACTATTGGACCACAGGGAATTGGAGGTCCACCTGGAACCCGAGGGCCTGATGGAACAAGTGGTCCACCCGGGAGAAGTGGTCCTCCAGGAACTGGTGGACCACAAGGCACCAGTGGACCACCAGGAACAGTTGGTCCCCAAGGAGCAGCAGGACCTCCAGGGACAAGAGGACCCCCAGGACTAAGTGGACCTATAGGGATGGTTGGTCCTGCTGGAACAGCTGGTCCACCAGGGTTAATAGGGCCTCCTGGACCAACCGGGACAGGAGGACCACCTGGCACAGCCGGACCAAAAGGTTAGAGGAAATATTTACTAACTTTGAAATGCTTTTAAGTTTGCAATATTGTACGGTTATCTTCTTAATTTAGTACAATTTTCTTTTTTCTTCGAATGTGTTCTATTGTTGTGAAATTATCAGGAATACTTTGCAATGCTCATCCTTCTGTGAATTTCAAAAGCACATTTAAGAGAGAAATCCATGTGTATTCTAAAATAATTATTTGATTTGTAATTGGAATGTTTATTTCATAGGGCTTCCGGGAAACCAAGGGCCACCAGGTGACTCAGTGCAAGGCATGAAGGGGATGAAGGGCATGGCAGGGGATCCAGGTCAGCAAGGACTTCCAGGGTCTGTTGGACATCCGGGAGAGAAGGGAATGCAGGGAGCCAAAGGCCTTCCGTTCGTTGGAATGAAAGGAGAAAAGGGAATGTCTGACAGATTTTTCGTAGTATTGCGTGGACGGACATTTTCTCCAACTACAAGATTCTTTACACGAACAGTACCCCCAACTACCAGATTCTTTACACGAACAGTATCTCCAACCACAGGACGGTTTGCACGAACATTACCTCAAACTTCAACACGCTTTGAGAGTCTTACTACTCGCTTTGCCTCACAAGTTACGACCACTGGTCCATTCCTTTTCCTAAAAGGTACCTTTGTGATCTCTTGGCCGATCATTTTGCCTTTTCAGACTGTTTTATGTGTGGTTAATCTCGTCTTTTACCTTACAAAACAAGGTGTTTAGCACACATCCTAATTGCTTTGTGTATTCAAAAAAAAAATAATAATAATAATAATAAAATAAATAAATAAACTTCATGCATAAATTTATTTGACTAGAAAACTTTTGAGAACCAAGTTAGCTAACAACAGGTTAACGCTTAAGATTATTTTATTCTAACGCATCTCAAAGTGGGTTGTAAAAATATCTGATGGTTTTTATTAAGTCTCTTTTTTACCTTCAAGGTGACAATCAGAATGGTACCCCAAGACGTGACAACAGCAAAGAAGACTCCGATATTCTGCAACAACTGAAGGACGCTGTGGTACATGAAATTGTACTAGGAGTAATCATAGGAACGGTTTTCCTAGGGACTATCTACCTCTATGTAGCCTATTTTAAGCAAGTGACGTATGAAAAAATTGAAATTGAAAAAATAAGAAGGAAATTGGAGGGGATGAAGCCTTAAGAGGGATCTTTATTCAAATGCCCATATTAATCATATGAATGTAGAAACTGGGGCGGGGATTTTTCAATGTCAAAAGATTAATTCTATGACAAATATTTCTGGTAACGAAAATAATACCAAAAAGATTAACTATTTAAATACCAATATCATGAAATTGTCTTACAAAAGCCATGCACACTAAGCAGGTCTGAGGCACGAGTATCCTATACGAGGTTTGTGTCTCAGCTATAAGTGACTATAATCTTGTGCAATTAAGCCGACCAAGTTTTAATTTGACTGTATACACAAAATGTGAAACTGAACTGTATCTTTCTCCAGATAACTAATATGCAGTTACTAAAAATGATGTTACTGTTCATTTAGAATATTTCTGTTCTTGTCTTTGTTTCTCTCCTAATGATGACAATATGAAAAAGAATGAATAAATAGAATTTATCGCAATCGGAGACGCATAGTCTGAATAGGTAAATGTTGCATCCCGCCACTTCCTCTTACTTCTTTAAAAATGCTTAAGTGAAATATGGATTCATTCCAATTGTTTTAGCAACTATTTTAATTATTAAAATAAGGGCATGAACGTGATGTAGTGAATTGTCCATCTTTCTCTTAGTGAACGCCGAAGCTTCGGCTAGCTTGAACAATTTTACCGTGTTCTTAAGAAATGATGAAAGGTACTGGATACATGTGTGAAGGACTGCTGCAGCAGGGACAGTGTTATGTTTATATTAGTTAATAGAGAAAATGAAAAAAAATCCACCATTCTCCCCTAGCAAAAAAGTGTCACACCTATCGCATTTATGTACATTGCTACAATGGTGCTTATAGATTTTTATTGCATAAAAAGTGTCACCCCTATCGCATTTATGTACATTGCTACAAGGACGCCCATAGATTTTTATTGCATAAAAAGGGGGCAACCGATCATCGTGTAGAACATTGACCCACCTAGCGTGACCATTGAAATACCCCAACACTGATAATATTTTAATATTTGGATCCTAATTGAGATGGATACATTTTTACCAAGAAGTTGACGTAGGCTACATTGTAGGAGAGAGTTTTGACCGGCTGTATTGCCAGAAGGGTGGGGTGCTCTATGCAAATCATTCAGAGGCTTAGGGGCCATTCCCAGAGGCAATCGTACTAACCTAATTGATATTTTGTAGAATCTAGAGGCTAAAAACACCAAAAATCGTCTTGTGACCTGGTTCTCATATCGAGCCATGACGTTTTGTTCGTGTGTTTTGTGCTCGGGAAAGTAAAAACAAACAAACGTGACTTTAAAATGGGTCAATCAAGACGAGCACGATCGCAAGTCTCCTCTCAACACATCTAACACCATGCTCTCCAGGCCAGCCTATCGTCTAGATTAAAAAGTTTTATTTAAAATCCACCAATTTCATCACAAAAGGTGATAACTGAGAATGAAAATATTAGTTTTTCACATCTGTTCCTGGAGGGCCACTTCCCCCACGTGGACCACCAGTGCCATCGGGTCACGGGTACCAAGTAGTCCTCCAGTTCCCTGTGGTCTGACCAGGCCACATCTACCGGTATATTACCTGGGGTCCACCAAGTCCAATAGGTTCTGATATACCTTAGTGACTCCCTGACCCAGAGGGGCCTTGCCATACCTAATTGTCTTTCTGGCCCTGGTGGCATTTGGCATTTGGTTAGTTGGCAGCACTTGAATTTTATACAGTTAAGTTTTGTACAGTACCTGTACCTGATACATGGTGCATGTGTCACAAAATACCATATTTCGTGCTTAATTAGATATAAGTCAGTTGATCTCAGAACTTTCACATCTGTATTAGCTGCAAGGACATTTTCCACTTACTACGATTACTGTCAAAAATCACCGTTAACAAAGTGTGCGCAGAACCATTACAAACATATAATGTTTTTAAAACTCTAAAATTACACCAACCCCGTTTTCATCGTCTAATTAGTCAATCCCTGAAGTAAGTTGTGAAAGCTTTGCCTGATTTTAGACACAGTAGTGAGAATATCCTAGTTAGGTTAAGGTGAATTGGTTTTAGTGCGACTAGTCCTAAATGTCACCGCCAGTGTATGCCATAGGGCAAAAAAGTGTCAGCAGACGCACAAAATTATATTCTGTATATTATTTGAAGCTCGTGAAGGGCTTCTGTATTATCAAGGCTATTTTTGGGGTCACTTTTGCACTTTTTTTGGTTCTTCTATTGCTAAGTCTCTGTAATTCGTATACAATGTTTTAATTGTTAGTTATTGTGAAGAGAAAAATGATAACTGCAACAGGTCTAAATGTATTTTTATGAATGCTTGATGTATACTTTCTTAATTTGTATTACAATTGAGCTACAAAAAGAGTATTAATCATTTTAGATTTAAACAATAAGCTTTCAATACCAGAAATTCTATATATTCCCCTGTACCAAAACTATTTTCAAGATTAAAGTCTCACTTCCCCAACATTAATTCACAAGTAAATTTGTCGCCAGAATATTTAAATCCCGTTCTCATTTTTGTTCACCTTTCTATGTTTGATAAATACTTTTCCCAAATATGTCAAATCTTGGACATAATAACGAAGGGACTAGAAACACGGAGCAACATCAAAAGATATATTAGCTTTGCGCGAGCTCTTCGTGAAACCATCTGCGTTCGGATGACGTGACGTCAGGTGCGACAATAATGAAACCTTCAATCGTGTCTTGAATTAAAAGATGCAATTTCTCTCCGATTTCTTAGGCTCTCTGGCATTTCTTTTAGACTGGTATTTTTATGTACCTTTTAAATAAAGATGACATCAACACTGTGTACTTTATATATAAGTTCATGCTACTTGCTAAAGTCTTCTCGATTTTTGGAATGATAAATAATATTTTTATAGTCTCAATATCGGCTCTCGTTGCAATATGGCACGACACACGCATTTGTGACACAAAATATGCTTTTATTAAAGTTGATATTAACACTGCTGTGAACTGCATATACTGTATAGGTTCATGTTAGCTGCTAACGTCTGCTCGTATTTCGGGATTCTAATTATTTATTTTTTATTTTATTTTTATTTTTACTTTTAATATCGGTTCTCGTTGGAAAATGGCTTCACACATTAATCGGCCGATACATTGCTTTAAAAACAGTTGTATATCAGCTCAACATAGTTCATTACAATCTTGGACATGATAACAAGTATAGGGAAGAAACGCCAGAACCTCTTTTTATGAGGTAACAGGAAAAAGATCCTGAAAACCCGAAACAAATTTACAGGTGTTTACGTCTCCCCACGTGTCGTCCCACGACCTGTTAAATTGAGCCGAGATTTAATAACTGTGCCCCTGCAGGGCCGACGCGTTGGGAGGCGTGTGGGAGGTGGAGAGACCATTACAGTAAAGGCATAAGGCATTACAGTAAAGGCGGTTTTCCTTCCACGTAGGTCCGCCACATTTAGGTCATGGCCTAGCTAGCACTCGTCTCTTCTCATTCTGAATGGTCCCTATGTGCTCGCAACTGCAAGATGTATCATAGCAACCACGAGGGTCCGCGAGAAATTGCGTTATCAATGCAAGAACAATAGAAATTCACTGAGGCACAGCGCGCGCGACCTTGATAATTATCCGTTCAGGCTCCCCTAGAGCTATCAAAACCCGAACGCACATAGCTTCAAAGGAAGGTGCCGCGTTTCAAGTCCCTTCGTAATTTTGTCAACGGTCAAATATACGTCTGCATAATTTTATGCTTTTACTTTATGTTTGGTACCTGATATAATACTTCTCTTTGAGAAAAGTTTGAGATACATATCCTATTTACTGTGAACAGATTGAAAAGGGTAATCTTCATTTCTTATCTTGATCTTAAATATCTGAATGCAAATTCATTGTGTCGCGTTCCAAGTACACCCCAAACAGTATTAAAACTATTTTTGACAGTGCCAAGAGAATTAAAATAATTAAGACCCCTCCTCTTGTTTCCAACATACTCGCATAAAGAGCAACTTTTCTGTATAAAACAACGCCAGGAGGAACCGTTTCATTTAGTTTAGCTGATCGCACTCAGTGACAGCCTGCAAAGTTTTACGGGGTTGCAGAGCAAAACGAATTGATCATAAAACAACCCATCCCACAACTACAAGTATTCTAGGCCTTTCATTTCCAGGTATTCTTTGGGGCGGATGTAGCATTTATCGTTATAAAAATGAAGGTCAGCTCAGGTCGGCATTGTACAATTTTCAACACGTACATTTGCCAACACACATAAAATAAAATTGTGTAAGCCGAAGGCTATGCGACCATTTGGGAAGTGAGATATCAGTTGTTCCCATATCAAATTATGGGCTCTGTACACACACACTTTTAAACTGAAAGTTAACGAAAGGCAACAAACACGATAGGTTTGGATTTCAGCTCAAAAAGCGGTCGCTATGGACTGGAGGTAATTCAAGTTTTTTTATAGTATTGTTTGAGATTAGAAAAAAAACTTTTTTCAAGTTTTACCATTGCTAACTTTACATACCATTCATATGATATTCATCTCATACGATAATTATAAACACAAGCTGAAAATGTTTTTCACACCGTTAGCTTGCTACCGACCTGGACGTAGGCCTTCATCAGATTGACAGGAGTAATTAGCAAGCTACCGGTGTGGAAAATATAATCAGTATGTGTTAAATATTTATCATTCATGATCCAAATACCCAGCCAATTAATAATTTTGCTCATTTGCTAGATATTCATCTCCTAGTAAAACTTTCAGGGGTAATTATCTTTACCCCCTAGCTGATTCCCCCTTAAGCCGGTTAAGTTGATAACAAATTTACTGAGACTCCCCAGGGAGTTAGACCGATCCAGATGAATCGATCTAGGCATGGAAAACCAGTCTTAGACCCCATTCCCATATATTTTAGACCGATCTATCCCTGTGTGGAGTCTCACAAGATTACTGTCTGCTTAGCCGTCTTAAGCGTCTGTCCCGCCTACTAAAAGCTATAAGGGGGTAATTAACTATGGTGCGCGCTCGACTGACTGCAATTTAGCGTGAACCCCCAGGGAGTTAGGTAGATCTAAATCTAAATCTCTGGATCGATCTAAATCTCTAGTCTGACCTAAGTGGTGTTAAGGTCCACTAAGTGCATGTCATGAACTCACTCATTTACATACAGTATTATGTTTATATAATCAGTCAGCATATTATTATTCACCTTGCTTCAGTCTTGATTAAATATTTATCATCCGCTGTATAGGTATACCTGATAGGCATCTGACGTGAGTTATGAGCTAGCTTACGGTATAGCAAATATTTTCAGCTTGTATTCAAATCATCATTTATAATCTTAATACCAAACTCATGACTATCTTTGCTGATTTACGTGATATTCATCTTGTTTATTTCAGGTACA